CAAAACTACTGAACCAATTTAGGACACAGATAGCCTAGATCTGTATTTTTCATCATCAAAATCGTGCTTGATCCTTATATAAATGCGAAAGTCACTCTGTCTGTCTGTCTGTCTCGCATTCACGACAAAACTACTGAACCAGTTTGGTACACAGATAGCATAGATCTGTATTTTTCATTATCAAAACCGTGCTTAATCCTTACTATTCAGCGAAAATCACTCTGTTTGTCTGTCTGGCTTCTACGCAAAAACTACTGAACCAATTTAAATGAAATTTGGTACACAGATAGCATAGATCTGTATTTTTCATCATCAAAACCGTGCTTGATCCTTACTATTATTGCGAAAGTCACTCTGTCTGTCTGTCTCGCTTTCACGCAAAAACTATTGAACCAATTTAAACGAAATTTGGTACACAGATAGCCTAAACCTCGAGAAATTGGAGAAATTGGATTCCGTCAAAATAATACGTCACTAATAGATATTTTTCGTCAGAAAAACCGTGCTTAATACTTACTGATATTATAAATGCGAAAGTCGCTCTGTCTGTCTGTCTGTCTGTCTCGCTTTCACGTCAAAACTACCGAACCAATTTAGTGCACAGATAGCCTAGACCTCGAGAAAGGGCATAGGCTACTTTTTAATGCGAAAAAAGGGTTGTATAGGGTTGAAAGAGGGATGAAAGTTTATGTGGAAGTACAGGGGATGAATTTTAAGGAGTAAAATAAAATAGAATAAACTTTTTTAATAGGTGATATTTTTTCTTTGGTTAGATTCTTTTTTTGGTCGAGATTACTAATCCACGCAGACGTAGTCGCGGGTACAACTAGTAATTTATAAAGTTTAAAGGTTGTCTGTCTGTTGCATGTTTGATAGTGTTTTGTTAATATTGAAAATAAAAAAAAATGTATAGGACTAACAGTAAAATACAAGCTTAACTTCTACACACACCGGTCCTCTAGATTGACAGTAAGTCAGTGTATTTATAACTTGTAATGTGGTATCATTACCTTTACAAATAAAAAAAGAATCATCGAAATCAGTTCTACGAAAAAAAAACTCAGAGTTTCTGTGTTAAATATAAATACATAAATATATAAAATTATCATTAAAATCAGTTCACTTAAAACCTTTGAGTTTATGTGTTAAACATAAACACATAAAAATACTGCCAGAATAAAAACCTCCTTTTTATAAAGTTGGTATGGCAAGCAATAATAAATATTAATTATATTATAAACGAGAAAGTTTGTGAGTATGGATCGATGGATGTTTTTTACTCTTTCACGCTAAACTTACTCTTACTATACTTAAATTTCATCAAAATCCGCTCAGATTTTGATAAAATTTTACAGCAATATAACTTATACTTCAGAATAAGACATGCACTCAAAATTTCACGCAGGTTACTCCGAGGGCACAGCTAGTCTATTACAATAATTTTTAGACGATGATATAACATTAATTTATGTACCATTTATGTATGTCTATTGATACTTATAGTTAATATCATTAAAACAATATTTTAATATCTCCTCTTTTCGTACACGTATATACATACGTGTACGAAAATAGTCATACGACTATTCTATTTAATACACGATCCTATAACATCTACTAGGTTTGCTGGAAGAAATCTCTTTTTAGAGATAAGCTCGCCCTTGTACATTACATTTATTCTGTATAATTTTTTTTATTATGTGTGTGTGTGTACAATAAAGAAAGAATAACAAACAATACGCCATCTTCAGTTTCCTTCACAATACATAACGTTGAATTGAAAGTTCTGACCTCCAGCGGAAAATAAATGATCTTCATATTGCTATTCTCAAATTTCCCACACATATAAGAAAGCAACAAAACTTTCACCCTGAATTTCACAACTTTGTATCGTCTGACACCACTCATAGATGTCGCTAGTAAGCGAATTTACTAAACAGCGCCATCTTACAGATACTTCACAAAACGCTAAGAGAAAACAGCGCCATCTAGTAGCAAAGAAAGTAACTATATATCAGTTGCTTTACGTGTATTCGAGTTGATTAGAGAGACGGCAAACAATCTTACTGAAAATTATAAATGCGGAAGTTTGTGAGTATGGATGCTAAGATGTATGGATGTATGTTTGTTACTATTTCACACAAAAACTACTGAACGGATTTTGATAAAGACTTCTCAGTAATACAGCTAATACACCAGAATGACAGATAAACTATAATTTAAGAAGATATAGTAAAGTGAATTGGGCGAACTATAATGATATATTATACTGTATGTCAAGTAAGTTTGATGCAGACGTGTGTGTCTGTTCGTAAATATTTTTTTATATTTGCAATATTTTTTCTCGTATAAGAATTCAAATTCAAAAATCTTTTATTCCAGGACATTTTAGCCGCTTATGAACGTCAATTTTTTTTAAATAAAAATCTTTTCCCTACCATCCTGTTCAGTATATGGATCCAATTGAGACGAACTGGCTAGAAACTCAATTGGATTTTTTTTTTGAAGCCAGTTTATTTACAATGTATATTTGGTGTAGGTATATATATATATATATGTATAGGTAGGTGTCTATGTCTAACATTAAATGAAAGATAAACTATAACAATTGGTAATAAACCATGTTTCAAGGAAGTTTATTTAAAACAAAATAAAATAATCAAGTTCCCATCTGCTGCGTCATTAAGCAAATTAAAAGCCCATTACTTATTTACAGGCCTTGAAACCAAGTTTGTTTCCTCAATTCAAAATATCTATGAATAAGTTATTACGTGAAAATTTAATTTCAGCGGTCGTTTAGGGCACTCTTTGTAAATTTCAAAGGGATTTTATTGCCTAATCGGAATAAATTGTGAGTTATTACATAGATATTAGTGTCTATTTTTTTTTTATAATAATTATGATCTCAGGACAATTCACACAGCGTCATCTAGACCGAAGTTAAGCTAGCTGAAGCTTGTGTTATGGGTACTAGATAATTAATACAAATATATAGATAATTTTATCGTAAATACATACATATTATATATGGAAAACACCCAGACCGATATAAACAATCATACTCATGAATACAAATGTTTGTGCAGTGCGAGGAATCGAACACGCGATCGTCAGATGTAAAGCGGTGTGCTAGAGCATTTTTAGATAGACTTTAAAACAAAAATTGTAATTGTATGTAATTATCTGTAAAAACGTGTATTTATATGGATAGAAGTTTATGGGAAGAATAGTATTTAAAAAAACTGAGCGATATCTTGCCAACAAACTGTTCTGCAGTTTGACGAGTCAATGTATAAAAACAACTGTACTATTATCTTTATTTAATAAATTAAAAAAAAAAGACCACTATACCACTGAGGTCGTCATTTTTTTACTAATAGAACAACTTGTGCGAGTAAGTTTGAAAGTTACGCCAGTTATAGACAAGTTGCGAGGTAACAGATTGAGCTGGTATGGACATGTTATGCGGAGGAACGAGGACCATGTCTTAAGGAAAGTGTATAATGCCCCGACGAAGTCGTCCAGCCATTTCGAAGATTAGCCGGAACAAATATACAGACAGACAGACAAAAATTATAAAAAAAAAATATTTTGGTGTATATACCATATGCATGTAGTAATAAGCGATTATTTCAATATTACAAACAGACACGCCAATTTTATTTATATGTACTTGTCGGCGCACAACACTAGCGATCGGCTCGCTGTAGGTCCAATCCGGTTGAGGTTGGCTCGCCTGTACCCTTTTCGACGTCCACTACATATGACGTGCGCATAAAATTTATTTGTAACTTTTTAAAATATAATCATTTAAAATTGGAGTCAGATTATCATTCATATCCACCTCGGAACATACTTACTAGCTTTTGCTCGCGGCTTCGCTCGCTTTTACTTTTGTTTCCATTTTTAGGGGATGCCTATGTCATAGTAGCTTTATGCATGCAAAGTCTCAGCCCGATCGATTTAAAATTGACAAAGTTTCATATAAACTTTCATCCCCTATTTTATACCCTTGGGGGTAGAATTAATCAAAATCCTTTCTTAGCCTACGTTATAACATCTACCTGCATGCCAAATTTCAGCCCGATCCGTCCAGTGGTTTGGGCTGTGCGTTGATAGATCACTATGTCAGTCACCTTTGAGTTATATATAGATTTAGTGAGATAAAAGATAGACTATGTGCATCCTCCTGATAAATATATTTTTAATTTAAGGGGGATAAAGTTGCAGAATTTTATATTAATTAGACTGTAGAGACTAGAGCGACTTTGAATACAGTCAAAAGCCGCTTTTCCTCACCCTCCGTAATCATCTATTCATAATACTGTGACGATTGTGTTAATACCTAACTAAAGGTCCGTCTCGGATTTGTATGTGTATTTAAAATACACATACACATATACGAAATATAAATTTCCAAAAAATTCTAAATATCTTTATTCATGTAGGTCTATTACCGACTCTTATGATATGTCAAATCTACCGTCAGTTCGGAATGATTTCTAGATCACATGAAACTCAGCTCGTATTATTTTCAAATAAATGTTATTATTGTAAACATGTAGTTTACAATAATACAGATTCATTTTTAAATTTAATTAAAAAAAAACTAAATTTAAATAATCTATACATACAAATAAAATTGGAGTGTCTGTTTGTAATATTGAAATAACCGTTTTTTACTATAATATGTACATGCATATGAATATAAATACGGTACATACACCAAAATAACATTTTTTACAATTTTTGCTTGTCTAACTGTTTGTTCCGGCTAATCTCTGAAATGGCTGGACCGATTTTGACGAGACATTTATTGGCAGGTAGCTGATATAATAAGGAGTAACTTACGCTACTTTTATTTTAGAAAAATGAAGTTAAATTCCAAATTCCACGCGGATGAAGTCGCGAGTACAGCTAGTATTTAATATGTATTCTATGCTATTAAATGGCTGTTTTGTTATCCCAACTGTATAAATTATTGAAAAACACAGACTGACCTTAAGCAGATGTGGATCCCTCTCAGCAGCATCCAGCATGGACTCCGCTTCGCTCAGCCAACCCACGAACTTCTCCAAGGAACGGTCAAAGTTCTGCAGCGACGACACCGCAGAGTGGAGTGCCTTGCCTCGAGCTATGATACTGTAAAAAGCACTTGTTTAATATCTATTCATGTATAAAATAATAATCTAATCTAAAATAATCAACATCATCATCATCATCATCACAGCCCGGAAGACGTCCACTGCTGGACATAGGCCTCCCCCAAAGATCTCCACGACGATCGGTCCTGCGCTGCTCGCATCCAATGCCTTCCAGCGATCTTGACCAGATCGTCGGTCCACCTTGCTGGAGGCCTTCCCACGCGTTTTCCGGTCCGTGGTCGCCACTCGAGGACTTTATTGCCCCAACGGCCATCTGTCCTACGAGCTATGTGCCCTGCCCATTGCCACTTCAGTGTCAATTCTTCGGGCTATATCGGTCACGCAGAGAAACTCCGAGCATAGCCCTCTCCATTGTCCTCTAAGTGACTCTGAGCTTGTTCATGAGGCCCTTAGTTAGCGATTACGTCTCTGTGCTAAAATAGTAATACCTCTAGATAATTCACACAACGCCATCTAGTACCAAGCTAGGTAGAGCTTGTGTTGAGTACTGTACATCTGATATAAATACTTAGACACAATTGATTTGGAAATACACATATTATTATAATGTACATGAAGAACACCCCTACCAATACAAACAATCATAATATTGAATACAAACGTTTGTATCTTGCAAGGAATCGAATCTATGACTATTGGAAGTAAGTGGTGTGCGAAACAACTAGACAACTGAGGCCGTCTAACAAAATATAGTGATTTTACTATAAAATATATAACTAATTCGTTTTATTTTTACTTCTATGTTTTTGATTCGTTTTTTACTTAATTTATACATATTTTATTAGGAATATTTTGTAATACACTATCCTAAAAGTTGTACACAGTTCAGTTTGCACGCTTATGTAGTGGATAAAATATGAACTAATCTACAACTGCCGCCAATAGATGGCGCTATTCACAACTAATTGCAGACTTTAATTTGGAATAGCACATGCTTATCCCAATAGATGGCGCTATTCGGAAAATATTCATTTCAAGTCTTTACCGACAAATCCCACTTGAATCACGTAGTCCACGTTTAATGATAGACATTACTCTTTGTAAGAATATAAATAATTTATTATACAACGTAGGTGTTGGTAATAATTATCTCACATAGTATTTGCTGAAGGAAATTGAACTTTATGTAATACCTGTTATTAAGCTCATTGTATCTATGGTTGATGGCCTCTGTGGCTCGTTTGATGCGTGTCGTGTCATCGTTCCTGTAGACTGCTATGAGGCGTTGTGTCAGCTGCCCGAACAGCTCAATTTGATGCTTGTATTGATGTACTTCAGCATGGAATGACTGCAACAAAATAGTTGATAATAAATCTTAGGATCACAGCAATAGAAATCATATTAAAACAGCAAAAAAAAAGGAACCCTATACACAGCGTGGAATAACTGTAACAAAACAATTGAAAATAAATCTTAGGACTAAAGTAATAGAAATCAAATTAAAATAGCAAATAAATCCTATATATTTATCCTTTCTATATATCCATATATTTATCCTTTTCTATATATTTTCTATATATCTATCCTATAAACATTATCCGGCGGGAGTTTGCCTTCTGCCGCTACGCAAGTACTACTCGTGACCACCGCCGCACAGCACTTTACTTCCGATGGTTGCGGGTTCGATTCCTCGCACGGCGTAAACTTTTATATTCATGAGTATTGATTGTTTGTATCGGTCTGGGTGTTTTCTATATATAAAATGTATGTATTTATAATAAAAAAATATATGTACTCATCGGTTAACTAGTACCCATAACACAAGTTTTAGCTAGCTTAACTCGGGACTAGATGGCGCTGTGTGAATTGTTCTGGGTTTATTATATTATAATATTATCTTTACATAGTATAAAACAAAGTCGCTGTCGCTGTCTGTCCGTCCCTATGTATGCTTAAATCTTTAAAACTACGCAATGGATTTTGAAGCGGTTTTTTTAACAGGTAACAACCTACTAGCTAGTACATATACCCGTCCCGGCTTCGCACGTGTGTACATGTATTATATATATAAACCTTCCTCTTGAAGCACTCTATCAATTAAAAAAACCGCTTCAAAATCCGTTGAGTAGTTTTAAAGATTTAAGCATACATAGGGATAGACAGCGGCAGTGACTTTGTTTTATACTATGTAATGATTGCAATAACAAAATACACAATAATACATACATATATTAATAAAATGGACCTACTTTTTAATTTACTTAATATATAATATATTAAGTTCTAATTAAAAACAGATATAATAATCACCTTTTGTTCCCTCAGCTGCATCTCCAGTACATCAGCAGTGTGGCCAGGAGGCGCCATACCACCAAGGCGGGACTCCATCCGAGTCAGCCACGCGTCCGCATCGCGCCGCCTCGCCTCGTATCGCTGCGAATCGCCGAGCATCGCGTCCAGTTGCGCCTTACGCTGAAGAACGCGTGCGTTCGCCTCATCCCAATGTTCGCGCAGAGCAGTAACTGGGGACAAAAATGAATAAATTAGTATACTTGCAGATCACGATGTTGTGTAACTCCTTTGCTGATCGGGGAGCGAAGATAGATAGATAGATAATTGATTTATTGCCAACATAACACAAATAATACAATTTACAATAAGACACAAAACAAGAAATAAATAATAACATGAAAGTTGGCAATAGGAGCGGCCTCAGCTGTTGCTGATATAAGCACAACCTTAGTGAGGTGCACCTATACAGCGCTGGTTTTCAGGCAGCCCCCATTACTCATAAAAAAAAAAAACTAAGATGCGGGTTTTTTACTACATACAGATACATATAATTTAAACACAAAAGAAAAATATATTAAATAAGATCTAGGATACACAAATATAAATATATATAGAAGAAAAAACTTAAAACTCGGTTAGCATGCCAATCAAACTTATTGTAATAGGATAACAACAGTTTAAAGAAATCCCGATGCAGTAACAACTGGTACCAACCGCACCGCTCGCCATCGACTGGGAATTCATCTCCACACGCTGGAACCTAAGTGGTCATGGACAGTACGGTTTTAGAGGAGCTTCCTCCCGCGTACACTTAGATTGTGGAATGAACTAACTGTAGAGGTTTTCACGGGAGACTACAGCATGGGGTTTTTCAAGAAGGGTATTTTAGGTTTTCTTATGGGTTGGCAATGCACACGTGATAACCCTAGTGTCTCAGGCGTTTTTAGGCTACGGTAACTATTTACCAGATGGACCGTACAATTGATCGCCGTCCAATTCAAACGTGGATCGAAATTACGACGACCTGAGCCGAGGTTCGAACTCCTAGCGGAGCCCTCAGGCTGAAGTCATATCCGTTAGGCGGGAGTTGGCCTTCAGCCGCTCCATATGTCCTTCCGCGGGTTTGGAGTGTCATCTACACTCGCCCGTAACGTTCGGTGAAGCTGTAAAGGCCAGCTGCGGCCAACAGCATTAGAGCAGTCAAAAAATGGACCGTACACTTGTTTGGCCCCGATGTTGTGTAAAAGTAAAATAAAACTAAAAGTAGCCGTCATCATCATCTCAGCCTGGAAGACGTTCACTGCTGAACAGAGGCCTCCCCCAAGGATCTCCACGACGATCGGTCCTGCGCTGCTCGCAGCCAATGCCTTCCAGCGATCTTGACCAGATCGTCGGACCACCATGCTGGAGGCCTTCCCATGATGCGTCTTCCGGTCCGCGATCGCCACTCGAGGACTTTACTGCCCCAACGGCCATCTGTTCTACGAGCTATGTGCCCTGTCTATTGCTACTTCAGAGTCATGATTCTTCGGACTATGTCGGTCACTCTGGTTCTTCTGTGGATCTCCTCATTTCTGCTTCGATCACGCAGAAGAACTCCGAGCATAGCCCTGTCCATCATTCTCTGAGTGACTTTCAGATTATTCAGTACATACTACTACAGTTCATACTAAAAGTAGTATAAAGGAAAAATAATACATAGTGTATTATTTACAACATGAAATTTTCTAAGTGTACAAATTGTTTACTGAACATTTTCTCATATACTCTCCCATATTATAAACCGCAAGAAATGAAGCTCAAAAGCAGTGTAAGATACGCGCGCCCACTTTGCTCAACTCATAATGAATTCAGGTTATAAAAACCAACAACCCAATGTAATTTGGGATAAATTTCAGAGCGAAATGAAAAGATTTATATAATATTACAGTCCCTTATAATTCTCATAGGACTAGACACGGAACAAGGCAAATATTTTCATAAAATCCCCAATCCCAAGGGAGTGGTAAAGGGGGTCTGTATATACATATAGACATATTAGATAAAGGTTGTTATTCAATGGAATAAATATTATCTTTTGGATTACTGGAATATAAATAATAAATCACTAGAAATACACTTTGTGCCTACACACGTCTGTGTGGAGTACCTCTATACAGTTGTGTTATTTAATCAAATTCGTGGTTAGCTACTGATAAAATGCGGTTATTAACGGTTACTTATCCGACTGCGATAAATAAAAATATTTTTCTTGTGTAATTTTTTTCTGGGATGTTTTAATGAATTTTATACGTTATTTCCATTAAAATATTCCAGTCAGGTGTAATATCTAGAATTAAGAAGGGCTTGTTTTTAGACTTTCTAGATGAGTCTTTTTTTATAAAGTTCAATTTTCTAGATCGGCCTATTTTGGAGTTTCTGGTGCAGTTTTTTTTAAGTTAAATTGTCTTTTATTTGTGATCAATCCTTTATAGGTTCTAGCTGCTGAAAGTATCAAGCATAAAATGCTGTTAATTAACCGTTAATAACGTAAAATGCATGCAAACCGCTAGGTTAAAATCCAGTACACTGTCCGTTTGAACAGTAAAAAAAAATGTCTATTTTATTTTCGTATTATCGTGAAAAAAATAAAAAGCAATTGCTCTATATATACAGAACTCTCATCGTGCGAGACCGTATTGCACTTACCCAGTTTTTTCGTGAATCCACTATAAGATTCTGACGACTACCCGGAATTGTTATATCCCGGATAGTCGGAGCTTCTATTATGGCGCTGCAAAATGGTTTTCTATACACCGTAACAGAAATCACATACGAATAGTAAATATGATATGAATAATAAATACATTATCATCGATAGGGTTGTGCACATTTTTTTTTAATACACTTCCTATTTTTTGGAGGTACCACGCCTCTTGCCATCTACCCTACGAAATACAGAAAGTTTCTTTCTCTCAGAAAACAGAAAACCTCCTTTGTTAACATTAGTTAATAAACATAATGGTCACTCTATTCTCCCAAATTTGAATTTTAATGACTGTGTATTATTATAAACATGTTCCACTATTATTTGAAAGAAATACGAGCTGAGTTTCTTGTTAGTTCTTCTCATCTCGATATCATTCCGAACTGACGGTAGATTTGACATATCATAAGAGTCTGTAATAGACCTACATGAATAAAGATATTTTGAATTTGAATTTAATAATAATAATAACTTCCAATTATTATCTCGTCCACAGGTGTCATCCCAGCATCCCTACACACTACCCTCTAGATATTACAACTTCACCCACTTACTTTCATCCTTCTCCAAAAAGCTGTAATATTAAACACTTGTAGAATAGTCCGCAAAGTTTTGTCTTCCACTTAAAAATTATCCATCCTCATCATTCATCATTTATACTATCATTGTTTGGTGATTTTTACCCGCAATGATCAGTCTATTACCCCATCAAAGGGAGATATATAATATATATATATAAAGAAATAATAATAATAATAAATTTATTTGCAATAGTTGTAATTAATATACTTACAAATGTATTTAAGTGCAATAAAGAATATTTAAAGTTATCCTTTTATATACGACTTCATACTCAATACTATAAGGACGCTATATATATATATATCTAATAATTAAGAGCTGGTTTGTATTTATATAATGTAATTGTTTGGCTGAAAGGAAATTTCCAGGGCCGTAAAATAGTTAATAAAAAAAAACCGTCTTTAAGACTAAGTTCAGAGCAATGTTATTGATTAATAATTACAATTCAAATTGAGTATGAATTTAGGGAAATGTCGATATTGAAGTTAATATAAAAGTAATATCATATATATATTAATAAAATTGGAGTTTTTTTTCGGACTACTCTAATGCTTTGCCAGCAGCTGGCCTTCACAGCTTCACCGGACGTTAGGGAGCGAGTGCAGATGGCACTCCAAACCCGCGGAAGGACTTATGGAGCGGCTGAAGGCCAACTCCTGCCTGACGGATACGACTTTAGTCTGAGAGCACCACTAGGGGGTTCGAACCTCGGCTCAGGCCGTCGTAATTTCGATCCCCGTTTGAATTGGACGGGGGATCGATCGGAGGGGGAAAATTGGAGTGTCTGTTTGTATCATTGAAATAACCGTTGCTTACCACATTACATAGTATAAACCAAAGTAGCCCTATGGCTACTTTGTTTTATACTATGTAATGTGGTAAGCAACGGTTACCACATTACATAGTATAAAACAAAGTAGCTTTACTACGGTAGCTTTTATTGGCAGGTATCTGATGTAATAAGGTGTAACATAGGCTACTTTTGTTTTAGGAAAATAAAGTTATATTCCACGCGGACGAAGTCGCGGGTACAGCTTGTAATAAATATTAACCAAAATTAATTTGTAAAATTATTTTTGCTGATATGTGACTTATAATCCAGCACATTATATACAGTTGACAAGTTTCATTCTTCAAGATATAGTTTTAACTATATCTTGATATTTGACGGCCTCAGTTCAAATTCAAAATATCTTTATTCATGTAGGTCTATTACAGACTCTTATGATATGTCAAATCTACCGTCAGTTCGGAATGATTACGAGATGAGAAGAACTGACAAGAAACTCATATCGTATTCTTTTCAAAAAATTATACTTGTGTATCATACAGTTTTATGCTATAACTGACTACCCCGTCTCTAATAATAGCCGTGAATATACATATTACTATCTACTCGCCCTGGCTTCACACGGGTGTACATGTATTATACATATAAACATTCCTCTTGAATCACTCTATCTATTAAAAAACTGCTTTTAAATCCATTGCGTAGTTTTAAAGATTTAAGAATAGAATAGAATAGAATAGAATAGAATTTATTAACTCGTTTTTACAGTAATAACATAAGAAATACAAGAATAATTTACACATTAAAAAAACGGAGTCAATGTGGGCCACAACTCAGCATAATGCTGGAAATATTTTCCATTTAAGGATACATAGAGACGGACAGACAGCGACAGCGACTTTGTTTTATACTATATAACTAGCTACTCGCCACGGCTTCGTCCGGGTGTACATGTATTATACATATAAACCTTCCTCCTGAATTACTCTATTTATTAAAACTGCTTTTAAATCCATTGCGTAGATTTAAAGATATATAAGGACGGACAGACAGCGACAGCGACTTTGTTTTATACTATGTAATGATTTTGATAATGGAATAACATATTTTCT